CAAATTGCATGAGTAAAGAATTTGAAATGAGTATGATGGGAGAATTGAAATTTTTCCTTGGCCTTCAAATTAAACAAACAAAAGACGGAATTTTAATAAACCAAAATAAGTACATATTAGAAATGCTCAAAAAATTTGATATGCATGACATTAAGTCCATGAACACACGGATGAGCACAACTTTAAAGCTTGACAAAGATGAGCATGGCACTTCGGTTGATATCACAAAATATCGAGGTATGATCGGATCCCTTCTTTATTTAACTGCTAGTAGACCTGATATTATGTTTAGTGTATGCTTATGTGCTAGATTTCAATCTAATCTTAAGGAATCACATCTACGTGCCGTAAAAAGAATTTTTCGTTATCTTAGTGGAACTAAAACCTTAGAACTTTGGTATCCAAAGGGTACTCACATTGATATAATTAGTTATTTGGACGCCGATTGGGCCGGATGTAATGTTGATAGCAAAAGCACTAGCGGAAATTGTCACTTTCTAGGCTTTGCACTTGTGTCATGGTCAAGCAAGAAAAAAAATTTCGTTACTTTATCACCTTCGAGGCGAAATACATTTCGGCCGCAAGTTGTTGTGCACAAACACTTTGGATGAAATAAATCATTTGTGACTATCACATATCTTATAATTATGTGCCTATCTTATGTGATAACACTAGTGCTATTAACTTATCTAACAATCCCATCTTGCATTCACGAACTAAACATATTGAAATTCGTCACCACTCTCTTCGTGATCATCTACAAAAGGGAGATATTGAATTAGAATTTATCAAAATCGATGACCAATTAGCCGATATTTTTACCAAGCCTCTAGCACATGACCAATTCTCTCATATTAGAAGAGGTCTAGGAATTATTAACGAAAGTGAAGTAATATAAGTTAAAATTTTTATCACTAATGTTTTTGCATTCCATATAAAAAATAAAAAAAGTTGGCCGAATGACTTCCCATCGACCGGAACAGGTCTACCAGACAACCAGAGTTTTTGAGCCCAAAAAAATAAAAATAAAAAAAAATTTGGTCAGATGACTTTCGGTCAACCGGAACAGGTTTACCAAAAAACTAGAGTCTTTGAGCCACCAAAAAAAAAATTGACGTCCGATCGACCGGACCGATGGGTTTTTCGGTTTTTAAAATCCTTTTTTCTTCATTTCTCCTCCATTTTTTCTCACTTCTCTTCTTCTTCCTCTTAGATCTACCTCAAATCTACCTAGATCTACAACTTTTTCTTAAAATTTCCACAACATTCGCAAAACCCATCACTTATTCTTTTTCAAACTCTTAAAATCCCCATTTCTTTCCAACTCTAACTCATCTTTCTCTCTTTTCACACGGTCGACCGGGTTATAAATTGTTTTTCCACATTTAAATCATCATGCCTAGAGTAAAAATGCCGGGAAAGAAGCCAAGGAGGGAGAGGCTACCAACTCCTTCATCAGAGGACGAACCCGAAGTGCCAGAAAATCACTTTGATAAATCTCCCATTCTTATAGGTAAGACTGTAGATTTTGACGATTTTACACTTCAAGCACCTGCATTTCATATAGCAAAGTTCTTTGAAAGCATGGGTTGGACTTCCGTTGCATCCATGGAAGAAAATGCTTATCCTAAGCTTATACAAGAATTTTACAAAAACGTGGTTTATATTCCTCGTCCGGGTAGTATTTCTTGTTTTCTCAAAGGTAAACGAATTACCGTTACCCATGCCCTTCTACGTTCTCTTCTTGAGTTAGAAGATTGTTCAAATCAAGTGTGTTGTCATATGGCTCATCCTACCTTTGAAGGTTCTAATCCTATTGTTGCATGTCGTAGAGTGACCGGAAAGAATTTTGAACACTCGATAAAACTTAGTTCAAATCAATTAAATTTACCTTGTAAGGTTTTACACAACATCATCGTCCATATTATTCTACCTAGGAAAGGTCATCTCGATGAAGTAACTCACTTCGATTTATTCCTTCTTGACTCATTCTTAGTCGGACGAAAATTAGACTTTCCAATTATTGTTATTGGTCACATGAAAATAGTCCATTCCGCCACTCGCATAAAAGCCTTACCATTTGGCATACTACTCACTAAGATCTTTAAATATTTTGAAATTCCTCTAAATGACGAAGTCTCCATTTCTCTCCGTCCTACTGACTCTATCAACATTCATACTTTTAAACAAATGAAAATTGTCAAGGAGCATGGGCAATGGGTGGCCCGTACTAAGGGTTTGATCTGGATTCAGGCCCTTCAACCTTACCCTTCGAAGGAAATGAGGAAGAGGAAGATGATCAGGCCGACGACACACCACTCGTTCCCAGCCCTCCACATGACATTCCGGGATCAAGTGTTCCTCCACCTTCCGGTCATTTTACTTTTATCGAGGATCACTACAATCTTCTCAATGGACGGCTTGACTCTCTTACTTCATCTATCGACGGGCTTGGTGAGATTTTTCACCAATTGCAAGTTCAGCAAGACACAATACAAGCTCATCAAACGACGATGCAGGCTCAGCAAGATACTTTCTATGCTTATTACACTGCTCAGCAGGAAGCCATGCAAGCTCAGCAAAATGCCTTTTATGCTCGGTTTGATGCACTTTTCCCGCCACCACCTCCTTCGGAGTCTTAAATATAATTTTATGCATTTGCATTGTACTCCTTATGTGGGTCTAAACTATTAATTACTATTTTAAATTTGCTTATGTTGACGTCTAAATTATTTTTATGCTTTGTGTGTTAAATTAAGGGGAAATATTGTATGATTTTATATTGCTCTTAAATGCTATATCTTTTTGCTTATGCCAAAAGGGGGAAATATGGTGAGATGATTATGCATGATTGAACATAAAATATATGCCTTTAATATATGGTCATGATTTGTAAAGGATATGGGGAATAGATTAAATGATAATTTTTTAATGTATATTCCTTGATATAAATTGTTAAATTTATCTTGCAAATCATCTTGTTTGTCATAATCAAAAAGGGAAAAATTGTTGGCATATGGTCAACTTAATCATCAATATTTTGATCATAACAAATGTTGATCGGTTGAGTTGGATCGAACCTCCTATTAAATCGTTTGCAATCTCTATCCCTTTTACTTATTAGCTTTACATTATCTTCATTATTTAATTTCATATTTGTGCAATAGATATATCTAGAATTATTTTTCGAAAAAGTTTTAATAACCAATTCCCCCCCCCCCCCCCCCCCCCCCCNACCCACCCCCCCCCCCCCCCCCCCGGTTAGTCATTCTTGGGTTTTCAACTTCATCTCTAAATTTTAAATTTTCATCTTTAAACCCCTAAAATTATGTAATTTCCACTTAATCTAAAATCAAACCAATCCAACCCAATTGTTAGTTTAAACCCAACCTAACCCGATTAAACTTAGGTTGATTTGAATTGTTCGCTTTGGTCTTTGGCCCATTTCACAAATTATTTTTGTTGAATTTGAACAATTTTAAAGTTTAAAACCACATGGAAATCTCTGTTATTTTTAATCTACATAAGGAATTATTTCTGAAAATTAATTTTATAAATAAATTTGAAACTATGGAGCATTTTCATTCTATAATTTTTTGGGAATTTATTCATTTCATTATCACATCCTTAATTTTTAGTTTATCGTCAAATTATTTTGCATTTGTACATATTATTCATACCAGCTAGCTATATAAAAAAAGGGGGGACGTTTGTACATTCTAAGTTCTTCTCTCATCTCCACTATTTAGATTTTTCCATTTTAGTATTAAAATTTTTTAAATCATGGGATTCGATTGAGAGGTTGAATTGGATTTTAATTCATATCTCGAGACCCGACCCAACCCAACCCAACCCGATCTCAAATTTATTTTTTCAACAAGTTTGAGCGGTTTGAATTTGTTTTGCCCAGCCTAATTGTGCCCCCCCCCCCCCCCCCCCCCCCCCCAAAA